ATATTGTAATAAAAATAGCCTGTATAAACCTCGTTGTTACATAAAAATAATATTTAACATAATCATATCATTAGAATTACGGTAAGTTGAAAATATAGAAACTTAAAAATTTGGAAAAAGGTAGTGATCGACGAATTTTCGTAACTTCCTAATTATTTATTAACTAAGCTGTCATATCCATTAAAAATTCCGTCTATAGTTTTCTTGTGAGTGTACTAAAATTTACTTTAAAATTCGTTACATTATGACTCTTTCTGTTTATAATTACAATCAAAATGAAAGTAGTCCCACTGATCAAATATCTGATAAAGTTTATAATGGACAATAGTTTAGAGCAAAGTATTTAATTTAAAAAATTCAGAGCGCTTCAAAATTTATATTTTGAATCTGAGAAGAGTACCAGTGAGGTCATGTAACAACGTACAAATTGTTAAAATAAAATATCAGCTTTTTATGTTTTTTTGATCCTTTTGTATTTTTCTACTGCCATGGTAAGGTAAAACAATTCGCTTTATGATAGATTTGAAGTTTTGCATTTCAAGATTTCAAATTACTGTTACTTTTACTATTTATACTTGACTTTGCAAGTTCTTTGTCTGCGTTTTTCTTTTGCACCACTCAACCAATTCTCATCAAATTTTACACGCGCATGCGTATGTACATCCAGATAGACATAGAAAAAAAAATTTTAAATCGGACTTGCCACGGAAAAAACTGAAATCACCGAAAAAACTGATCCTCATAGACTTCAGCATTACATGATCCGCCTATGTCAATTCTACTGCACATGCAAAGTGCAATATTTCGGCACTTTGACGACGTAGTATGATTCCTGAGGCATTTAGAAACAAATTTCTATTAGGGTTTGATGCGTTTTGATGCTTAATAAAGCCAGAAAATCAATTTTTGTCGAGTTCGGTCGAAAACGGCACAGGTGGCGCCATCTAGCGGCGAGCGGCGGAACTACGAGAAACTAAAATTTCGATTTTCTCCGAAATTAGGCAATTGTACGTATTTCTGAGGGTCAGAAATCAATCTGTGACTTCTCTAGAACCTATATAGTGCCAGAAGAACTTCCTCAGAGCGCTAGAAAAGTAAATAAAAAAATAGTCCAAAACATGGACTAAAAAATTGGCGTCCATCTAGCGGTGAAAGTTGGAACTACAAAAATAAAGAAATGCGATTTTCTCGAAAATTAGCGAACTTTGAGTACTGCTGAGCCTCAGAAAGTGTTATGTGATCGCATTAGAAGCAAAATAAATCAATCAAAGTTTCCTGAAAGCTTTAATAAAGAAAATAAAAAAATGTCATTTTATGGAGAAAATTTGTGGCGCCATCTAGCGGTGAAACTGCGAACTAAACTGAGAAAACGTATGTCCGAACAAGCGTTAAGGGGTCAAATAGAAATTGATTTTCTGGGCTTAATAGGCAAAAAAATGAATAACTTATTCAACAAAAATTGCTTTAAAATGTCTAAAGAAGCATACGAAGTCATCAAAGTTGCAAAATATTACTTTTTATATTTTTCCTTAACGCTTGTTCGGACATACGTTTCTCAGTTTAGTTCTCAGTTTCGCCGCTAGATGGCGCCACAAATTTTTCCCATAAAATGACATTTTTTTTATTTTCTTTATTAAAGCTTTCAGGAAACTTTGATTGCTTTATTTTGCTTCTAATGTGATCACATAACACTTTCTGAGGCTCAGCAGTACTCAAAGTTCGCTAATTTTCGAGAAAATCGCATTTCTTTATTTTTGTAGTTCCAACTTTCACCGCTAGATGGACGCCAATTTTTTAGTCCATGTTTTGGACTATTTTTTTATTTACTTTTCTAGCGCTCTGAGGAAGTTCTTCTGGCACTATATAGGTTCTAGAGAAGTCACAGATTGATTTCTGACCCTCAGAAATACGTACAATTGCCTAATTTCGGAGAAAATCGAAATTTTAGTTTCTCGTAGTTCCGCCGCTCGCCGCTAGATGGCGCCACCTGTGCCGTTTTCGACCGAACTCGACAAAAATTGATTTTCTGGCTTTATTAAGCATCAAAACGCATCAAACCCTAATAGAAATTTGTTTCTAAATGCCTCTGGAACCATACTACGTCGTCAAAGTGCCGAAATATTGCACTTTGCATGCGCAGTAGAATTGACATAAGCGAATCATGTACGTATCGCAATGTTGACACAAAATAATTAATTACTCTGTACCCGAACATTATTTATGAACTTTTATGATCGAACCATGTAAATAATGTATTACTGACCATTCTTTAATCATAAAATTTCATAAACTGTGCCCAGAAAGTATATTCCTCCTGCGCGCCGCCCGCACATGCCACGGAGGATTAATTACCGAAAAACCATATCCCTGTAGACTTTAATGCAAAATTGAATTTGCTCGCGCCTATGTACTTGACTTTTCAACTTTTTTGTCCACATTTTTCCACATGTCAAAAATATAAAAAAGTCACTAGTTTTGGAGAAAATCGCTATTTTATTTTTTTCTTAGTTCCATCTGTCACCGTTACGTGGCTAAGTCGTTTATTGTTTAAAAAATTTCGAAATATAAATCTTCAAATCCGTCATAAATCTATTTTTCTTACTTTAGCGTGACCGTTGATCAATTAATAATCTATAACAAGACATGAAAATGTTTTAGTTAATAAAAAAAACGCAATTTTCTGTTTCGAAAGACTGGAACTGTTTTTAAATAGTGCGCGGTAAAATATAATTTTTGAAATGCATGTATACTTGTAACTTCCAAAATATTTCTCACATAGTGCAATAATTATTTTACAATAAACTACTTCTTTTTTATATGTTTAATACATGTTACATCACTGAGATACTTCTGTGGTAACAGGAAAATTCAATTATAAACAAATATTGACTTACGTTCTGATGTTTCTGGAATCACCTTTCTGAAATGTAAAGTATGCAATAATACAGCTAGTTTTAGGCAAGAATATCTTTGATAAGTTAGTCATAATAAGTGCCAACGCATGGATATTATTGGGAATAGTTAAAACATGTTTCCTTTGATTGCCATTTTAGTCAGGAAGACAAATTTGTACTATACATAACATGTTCAACTAACTAAATTTTTTATTTTGCAATCAACAAAATGTTTTCCAACATTATTTTGATTGAAAATGTCAAGAAAATATAAACTTGAAACTGGATACGAAACAGAACTTATTTTACAAAAATTAATCCATAAATTCTAAGGAATGAAAAATTAATGAGGAATGAACATACATAAAGAAGAAATTGAATAAATAAATTTATAACAGTGAACTCTAGTCTTTTTTAATTCAACTCCCCTATCGTTGATATAATGAACATGAAATACCTATACATGATACATATTATTATAAACATAACATACGAATACAGTGTTGTTATTAATCTATAGAATTAGATTGTGTTAAATGATAAGTTTCTACACCCCGTTTAATTGGAAAGCAGAATAAAATTGACATCTGCCATAATTTTTAAGAAAACACTTGACGCGAACCGCCCTATGTATTTTTCTTTTCTTCTTCTCTAAATACATGTTATAACGTTTCAAATTGTAAGAGAATAAAAGTAGGACCATCTCTTTCAAGATTCTTACAATATTGGCACACTTTTTTTTTGTTAACTTTGAATGGCACCACTGCATCTCATACAATTAATGCTGGACAAAAATTTACAAAAAATATCAAGATTTAAATGAAAAAGAAAGAGACAGAGAAAATATGATACAAAAGTAAACTGAATGAAACACGCGTATAAATTATAACATCTCTTTGTATTTGTTTCACGTTTAAAGCTAAATACCGATAACAAATAAAGTAAAATACGTGTACACAAAGGAAACAATTGTTAACAATGATCACATTATTAATCTCTTATAACATAACACGATACACGTACTGTCCAATTGCTTTGTTGCACTTTTGATCACAAGCGATACAATCAAACTCTATGCAATATATTACAGCAAATATTAGGGCAGGTTCAAAATTTCTCATAGTTAAAGTATAATCGACAACTAAATATTTTTTAATAAAGAATATATTTTCAGTTGTTGATTGAATGATTTCCTAATTGAAAATTAATTAGAATTTGTAATTAAAGCTGCAAATTACAATGTTTTTGATTAATTATAAACTGGAATTGTTATTATTTTTACTTGAGATGTTAACAAATAAATTTTAATCTTTGACTAGGCATAATTAAAAGGTAATCAATAATTAAACTTTAATTAAAATTAAGTTTTAATTTGCAATCAGAAAATCATTCGATTAACAATTAAGACTGAATTCCCAATTAAAAAAATTTTATTATGAAATTAAATGTTTAATTATTAATTATCGCTCAATTAAATTCAGAATTTAATTGACTATTTTAAAATCCGACTTGGAATTTAAACTGCCCCACTAATAAGATATTAATTGAAATATAAATACGAAACTAAAACAAAACGGTTTCCCTGGTTGAAAGAATTCTATAAATTCCACTAAGTTTTAGCAGGAAAACGGGTCTTTTGATTTACGTTGAAAAACACCAAAATGAAAAATTGTACATATTCAGAAAATTGTGTATGATTGTGAAATGTTTTGTCTTTTTACAGATTATTTTGATTGCAACGCGACGATGAATTAATAGAGTGAAGCTTCGTGCGAGAACAGGCACGGCGTACAATTACTATTAATTATTCGACTTATAACTCTTCGTCTCAAATTAATGAACCTCGTACTCTTTGCGGCACTTGGGTACAATGTTTCTTTTAATTGTTTCCTCATTCTTCAGCGACGTCCTGTTACGTTCAATTAAATACCACGAAGTTTGCAAATTTATAGCTTCTCCTTTGAATATGCTTTTACACGTCTTATTTGATGAATTTGATATAATACATTTAAACATTGCATAGCTGAGAAGAGTCGCAAAATATTTTCAGGCTTTTTATTTTTCAATTGTACGTATCGATATAACAAAGGCTATGCTTGTACTTAAATATTAATAAATACATAATAAAATAAGCATATTGTAAAATTCGTTTCGAAAGCGTATTGTTCTCAAAACGCGATGAAACAATGTGTAATGTGAATCGAGAAAATCTTATTCAGCTTACTAACAGAAATTAATATAAGTACCACGTATTGGTACAATTAATTCTAAATAACATTTTAAAATGTTATTTCTTGAAGTTTACTGTCGACTTGAAATTTATAGATCGTTGTAAATGATATGTAACGAACGTAGCAGTTTCTACTTAGATGCCTCGATTTACACAAAACATTTACAAAAAAAACAGTCTACCGTGTAAATGAACAATTAAATACGTAACGTAATTTGCACATCTTAAATTCAACATGCTCAATTTTATACAACACATGATTATTAAGTTGTATTGCCTTCAAATGCAATTGCGAGACTTTTGCGATAGATTTAGTCTTTATTCACAATGCGAACATAAAATAAAGATCTGTAATTACTGAATTTGATACCTACACTATTCTCGCTAAATAAATATACTTAGATCTTTTCATTCCATTTAGTTACGGTTTCGATAAATACCTATCTAGTACACTTTGATATTTATTTTATGCAGATATTTTTTATAGATTTCTCTTTTCTTTTTTACTGCGCGTTTGTCCCTTCATGCACGTGTATATGCCCATCTTTCAGATTAACATACGTGTCGCATCACAGGAAGAGCTTGATATTTGAAATACGAAAAGATTCTCAAACCGTTTGCCTGCATGTAAGAAATTATTATTTACATTACATGTCAGTGTTTAAAGAATGAAATACCATTAATTATTATCATTACGTCTGATACCAGATATTTGGGGCCTGGCATCCCCCACGTTGAAAAATGTTGACTAAAAATGCATTGCGAATTAAAACACATGTCACTTAAAAGCATCACGATTTTACAAATGATTAAATTCCGTAGCAGCTGTGCAGACGTTATGTCTTGAATATTTACCATATACCATAATGAGGATATAGTAATATTAATTATTATTAGTAATTTCTGTCTTTCGCTGTGATATTAATTACCTACAATTCTTGTACACGATTTTATATGTATGGGTGTAATGCCAATGCCCTACCACGTAAACCTCTCTGTCCTCCAACTCCTCCCTTTGGTATGACGTATCCTCCAGCATGTCTAGCTGTTCCCTCTTCTTCCAAATTTCCATTGCTTTCAATTAAATCACGCAACGGCCAACAAGCCAAATGACGAGATTTTCCATGACGCGCTAAGACGTGATATCCTTGTCTGAAATGCATGTCAAATACCTTAGGTATAATGTATAAACATAATATAAAACATGAAATTTAATCTGCAAAACTATAATATACCTCGATGAAATTAGACCGACAAGTAATGCCCAATGAGCTTTATGGCCTCTTTTTAAACACGGAGCATGATTGAAGTCAGAGTCATATGGAATTAGTACCATTGCTCCATGAGCCAAAGCATGTGTTAATGTATCTGGACACTGTTGCAGATCTACTAAAATATCTGGTCTATGGTCAGGTAAATATTCAGCTGCTAGTGTGCCCATGAAATCAACACTGTATACTTCTCCATGTTGTGTGAAACCCCTTACACGAGCCTCTGCTAGAAGTTGACTCACAGAAACTGGCTTCGTGTACTCCTGTGATGCCATAGCAAGGGCCACCAAACCACATCTGTAAACACAACATGTACTGGCTATGCTAATACATTTTTATTTTATGATACTCACTGTGGCCCATCTTGTAGAATTGGTTCAACTTGACAAAAATATGTTACTTCTGCATCCTTCAACTCATTTCTGGATATCAGTTTCTCGATTTCTGCCTCTGCAGATGTAAGAGTAAGTTTGGCCCAAGGAGGCAGGGAATCCGCATCGCTTACTTCAGTTTTTTCACACATAGGTGCCTCTGGCAAACTTGAGAGAGGTGGAGGCGGTGCTGGCATTTTTCAATAATAAATGCAATACGGACAGCTACTTTGTTCGACTAAGAAATACCTGGTTGCACGTTATAATAAAACGACGACAGTTTCCACGGCTATGAAATCATGCGTCTACACTTCAGTATTTTCAATCTGAAAATTGCCATTTCTCACTGGTACTCTTGTTGTTTATTAGAAAGTCCCTCATTCATTGTAAACTCCTTGCTAGCATTCCTTGATCAGATCCAAGCTGAAATATCAGTATAAAGACAGCATGCAACTTATAATCAAAATAGTAAGTAATAATCAATAACAAAAATCAGAGGAAATCAAGATAACTGTATTTAATTTTTAAAAATAATTAAACTGTACGTGTGCTTCGAATCGTCTTTTTTCTGCTATCACTTTATCGCGAAAAAAAAATGGAGTACGAGGAAAAGAACGAAACGAAACTATTTACGTGGATGCAGCATTACTATAACTGCATTTATACGTTAGTCATTTAACCTTGAGAAATATACTATACGGCATCTGTCATCGTTCCAGCAGACATGAATTGCGAAAACTTCGAACGACATCATCGAAAGCACTCATTCTCGTAAAATCGATTACTATACGTGACAACCGACAGCAACATATTTATTTTCTTTCGAGAACAGTTTGAACACTTCTAACAGAATTTAATACGAGAACGTACTTGCTGTAAAAATTCTAATGGCAGCACATAGCACGATCGACATTGGACGGAATAACAATTGACGATAATATCTGTGTCAAGCAACGATTAACGATTCGACGTTATATATTATTGTCATACACGGTAGATGTAATTTAGATCAGACAATCAACCGGACGATCATTATTTGTTTACCGTACCTAAAACGCGAGAAGATCGCTGCAGCACGATTTTGACGTTTGCACGTCCCTCCTATTCACCCTGTGACTCATGCACATATATTATGTAATTCTTCGATAGAAATAAGAATTAACACTCAAGTGCATTGATGCGACGATATTAAAGGTTCGTTCGGCTGCACGAATCTCTAACGAATGACAATTACTCGCTCGATACGACTCTACAATTTAATCCTCTCCGAGGAAGATCTCAAGTTGGCATAGCGCACCATGCCTTATTCGCAGACTTCTGTCACGACATACAGTCTGATAAGAAATTTCTCGCAGGTGCTGCTGCAACTTCGAAGACAATTTATCAGTTTGGGCAAGTGCATTGTCTGCAAGAACCCTAGCATCGGGAAATTTATTATTTATCTCTTTTCACGTAGATTCGACAGGTACGGGGATTTCGGTACGTTTGCATGGAACATGCACTCAAATTACTATTATTACGCTGTCGCGTGAACCTTGCTTTACATACTGTATTACCACGGTGTGAAGATAGCTTAAACGTTATCGTATCGAATAATGTGTACCGATATAAGAGCGGAAATTCAAAACGGGCTGATGTATACGTCGTATATTAATTCTATTGTTCAACATATTCAATATGGGTGATCGAGCAGTGGAAATGTCGGAGCTCGAAAGGAAAGAGAGAATAATTGAAAATACAAAAATTATTTAGTGTGGATCGTGTCGAATTGATTTTGATTAGATTTCGTTCCTTTGTGCATGCAAATTTTTGTATTCGGTTTGGAAGTGGATCGAAAATCGAAGATCATCGATGGACGGGGTGTGGCGCAATCCTGGATTGAACGAGGGAAATCTTGGAAAGAGGATCCAAAACTGGTCGATAGAACAAAGTTGAAGATTCAAGAAGAAATCTCGTAGAGAATTTGAAATTTACTGATTTTAAAGCCAATCGAAAGCTACTAATTTTACAAGATAAAATAAATGGTCAAATATTCATTTTAGTGATATTTTAAACTTGTTTCGCGCGCCACGTCAAACAAAGCGGTTCAACATTCCATGGACACCAACCTAACATCTTTCCCTATAAAGTCCGTGATCGGAATGCAACAGTTCTCTTCTATAATCAAGTTAGCATCACAACCTATTGTTTTTCTGCAAAACTGATAGCACTATAGAATTATGTTAGTTTATTGGTTAGGATTTTTGGAATGTGTCATTATTCGCGGGATTCCAAGATCTTACGGAATGCATAGTGCAATGGAAATGTTTGTCTTGAGGTCTTTATTATACCAGTTATATTTCTTATTGTAGAAATAGGAATATTATTTGGATGAACAACTGCAAATAGTAATCATAGAAAATTTATCGTATCTGTTATTTAATACTTCTGTAACAACTTCAATTATATTACTGTACAATTACATTTGGCGCGTTAGAAATTTCTAGAATGCGCACTACGGGGAGCCACTAAAACTATAAACCACAAAACACAAAAAATTTAAATATAACTTTGTTCTAAAGGATTGTTTAACAATTCCAGGCGATTACAATACTTTAAATAGAAATTTTTCAAATTAGTATCAAACGTAAGATATAATCATTTGTGAATATAAATATAACATTTGTATAAATAGAACTTAGCCAGCATATTAAATTAATTTCTAATTCTTTACATTGATAAAACACTTTCTTCCTTTAATAAATGAGAATTCTTTCTGACTTTTAATTTTTGGTATATAGTAGAAGGAATAATAAGCACTTAATTATGGAGGTACATGGAGAATAATATTAAAACAATTATTTTTTAATCATTAAATGATAGTTTAATTTGTATAAAATACTTCAAAAATCATTTTTCCAAACAATTTCAGTGTCATTTCTTATTTCTATTGTACATTTTTTAGACATGATTATGGTCAAAAATACTTACTTAAAATAGTGTTCGAAAATTTATTTATAATTCTTAGCAGTTCAGTATGTATAGATTCGAATTACAAATATTTTCTTAATAAATATTCTCAAAATATGAGGAGGATTGAAATAAGGAATAAAGTCTACTTTAAATTATTATAATATTATCATTATATTTATGTACAAATGAAGATTATAAATCATACAATTAATCGCTTCTATATTCAATATATAAAAATAATGAGCTTTGTAGTACTAAAAGTAATAGTAAGGTAATTGTTGTACCCCCATAAAAAGTCATAGTAACAGGAAACATTATTGTCTTTATATTTCGGAGTATGTTTACAAGGCGTCATACATTTGAATCGTGTAAAATTATGGTAGAATTTAGAATGAATAATGGAGGTACACTGACTATTTTTTTCCTTACGAAAACGTTTCTTATGCACAAAGTAAAGATTCTACATCTATAATAGAACATCTTTTTTCATTAAATACCTTATCTGTATTCTTCATGTTTACAAATATGACTTCACATAAAAATACTTCTCTTATTGTACATAATTCTGTGACGTACTTATCAAAACATATACCGTAGATATTAGTTGTTGAATAATATATTACACATTTTTACATTAGAGGTACGAATCAGATAAATTGACTTATATTTTATTTAAATTAAGTAACGATCTTCTATAAAAATATTATATAGAATGACATAAATAATTAAAAGTATTTTTTACAAATTATCATATGAAATAGACATTGTACAAAACAAATTGTTTTAAATAGTCGTTGATATCAAAGTGAAGACATATAATAAATAATAAATAGATTTTAGGCTTAATATCCTTTGAGTCATATACACACTGCACGTTACTGTTAGCAATACAATAAATAGTGATTATTCAAAATTTTATAATCTTCTTTTTTAAGGCACCACATTGTAGTTCATTACAAGAAGCGTCGCGAGTAGTCTACATTTTCGTAATTACTTCTAAATTAGAAGAAGTTATCCCTAACGGTATTACGTAAACGTAATCTGTAAACGTTCGGCCATTTAAGTACCCAAATAGGTACAAATGATTCAATAAATGCATTTTATTCGCTTAAAAATGATGCGTCGTCATTCGCAAAAACTTCAGTGCATACATTATGCGTATAACACTATTTTTATCTTCTAAAGGGAAATATCTCAGTACAGTTCCGTATTTATGACGATTGAACATTATGGAAAAAGTAGGTATTAAACATTTGTTTCGCATAACTTTACGAGATGTTATTAGGAAGAAAAAAATGATATAATCGTTGAAAATCTCTGCATTTAGTAACAATTACGTCGTAGATAATTACAGATGAGACGATAAAAAATGTTCTAATTTGTAAAATAATATCCTTATAGTTTCATGGAAACCGTCGTATACCACAGAGCGTAGTAAAGTATATATTTTCTTTGATGTGCTCTTAAGTCGAGTTATTGAACATATCGTTTCATTTATACCCAATAATTATCACACATTCAATAACGAATACATCATTCGCACACACTGTTTTACATTGAACGTATGATACATAAATGCGTCTTTGAAAACATTTATATACAATATTTCACTGTGCGTATCGATTCAGTGAACGTAAAAGCATCTTTTTGAGTCCATAATACTTTTGTTCCTTTTTCTTTAAGTTCAAATAAGATAAGCACGTTGTATCGGTAGCTATGTGCGAATACCCGAATCAATTAAAATTGTTAGGGAACTTTAATTTTTCACACCATTCGAGATTTGTTCGCGTAGGCAGTGATTCTTAATGTACAGGACGTTTCATAATTTGTGGGACGGAGGATACAAAGGCAGTAAACAACGTTTATACAAACGTATGTAGTTCATTTAACTATGCTTTCGAATTACGGCCACCTTTTTATTTTCAAATTATTCAACTTTCAAGCCTCTATATTTTTTAATTTTAAAACGTAGAAATTTAATTTTCAGATTTTCAAGTTTGGAAATTTGTAATTCAGAAATTGTTAAATTTGAAATTTTCAAATTTCGAATGAGGAATTCTGAAATTTAGATAGGATTTTAACAATCGCTGTATGGCAAGAATTACATCTATAGTCATTTCCGTAATTTCTGTTTCATCCCCAATTACGGCCATATAGCGAGACTCTACAGAACTAAACTGCTACCGCCTGTTTTATAATAAACCTACTTCAGCATATGTGTCAGTACAATTCGTTCTTTTGATATTGCATTTTCACTGAATTAACAATTATTAATTAACAAAAAATTATTTCAAAGAACACTAACTGAAACACCGTCATAGCTGTAATTTGAAAGCAAGGTTAAATACATATATACAAGAAATTTTCCGTAAACGTATCTCGAATAGTGTCACTAGTATATAAAATTTAGGTACTCGCACATGGCTGTATACATAACTAAAGGAAAGAGGAGTAGAGAGACTATAAATCTATCCTAGTCAGCCTTCTGTATGTTCCCGCTTTGCATGGTACTTGAGCAGTAGCTGCCGGTCGTCCCGGTACTTATTGTTAATGTTTATTTGGGTTAGAGTCTGAATCCGGTTCCGAACTAGAACCGGAAGACTCCCCAGCATTAACGTTCGCACTGCAGCGCGAGCTCCTTCGGCTAGTGGAACCCGTGTGCCTGCATTTCTCGCTACGATCCACTGTACCTACAATAATTTTATACGGAAAATTAACATAAACTCTCTAAATATATTACTATACAAATAAATGATCAAATTAAACTATTTATGTACATTTAGGAACAACGCAGTTGTCTTTTAGGGAAAAAGGGGCGAAAGTCTTCCATTATTTGCTTTTGGTTTTTGGAGAATTTAGAGAAAATGTGAACTTAGAGAAAAGTTGGATCTAAGATAATAGTAGAGCTAGAAAAAAGATAACCCTAAGAAAAAAGTAGGTTTACGGAGTCGATAGACGAAAATGAGGACCTCTGGAGAATGTAGACCTAGGAATTATGTGGACTTAAAGAAAACTAGGACCTAGAAAAACTGTAAATTTAGAGAAAGTTAAAACCTAATTCTCCTACGTTGCACCTGAATGTACAATAAAATTATGATGTTCAGACAATAGTTTCTAATGATTCCATTCACACAAATGAAGTTCTATCATGTCACTTAAAATATCTTTGGCGTATTACTTAGGATAAAAATACTCAGACCTTTAAAACGATCTATATAAATAATTTAATAGGCAAAAGGATTTTCAGTCAAACGTTAGATACTCACTGGTTAACGGCGTGTGAACTTCAACCTTGATATTAGCCGTCGCAGTGACCTTAGTAGTGATATGAGATGTTGACGTCACTGGTGACATTCGACTAGACCCACTTGTATCTGATCCGCTACAGTTCTGTTAGTTAAAAAACAAAAGCACACGCGTTAATCATGCTTCACGGAATCAGAGTACTTGCATCATCAAAACAAACAGGAGATATTCGTGGTATAAGCAGTTACAGGAAGCGTCTGGGTGTATAAAAAAATCACTCTCACTTCAATGATGTTCTGAAGGAAGTATCGCATGAAAGATACAGGGAATCAGGACAGTTGTACGGATTTCGAAACGTACCTGATTGCCACACGTGGACGTTGTTTCGACCTTCAACTCTGGCTGAACTATAATGCAAGATTCTTGTGTACTATGCCAGGAATTGGGTTCCTCTGTGATCGTGGTTAGCGAGGGTTCAGCGTGTAACCTAGCATTATCAATTTTGTACGATCTCCTCGGAGGCGCAGGTGGCTTCGATCTTCTAACAATCGGTGAGGCAGGAGGAGTTGGCGTTGAAATACGATCCGGATGCTCGTTGGGTATCACTTCTGGAGATGGTCCAATCAACGATAACAAAATGGGGAAGAAGAACAGTCCGTTCACCAAACCAATTCCGATCAGGCACAGGAGTACCAGGAAAAAATATCTAACGATGAAATCGAACTCCGAGAAGGCTAGCATTGCGATTGCCAGAAGCGTCGTAAGTGCCCCATGAATTACGGGCGCGAACATGTGTTCCAAAGCCAAACGAATCCTTCGATCCCTGCTCCCGATACTCGTAACGAAACTCTAAAAAAATGACGGTACAGTTAGAACGGAGACAAAACAAGAACTCATAAACTGGTATCGAGCTCGTACTAACCAGACAAATATGCACCGTGAAATGTACAGCGATTCCGACGCTGACAACCAACAGCACGGCCGGAACGGCGCTTAATTTGATGTCACATAGGCCCATAATTCCGAGAAGCTGCAGAACGACCCCGGCCAAACAAGTCCCGACCAACAGTGCAGCCCACAGATTCAACAGCAATATCCCGACGACTGCGACACTGGCTGCCAGAGCAGCCAGCAAAGCGATACCCAGGCAGCTCCTCAGATCCATGTACTGTTCCCAAAATAGGAACGGTATGCCGGAGGGAAAATTTGGTAGTCCACGTTCCTCGAACTTCCTGCACAGCTTTCTTACGCTGCCTATCAGCTCGGTGATCTCTTGCGTGTCCGTCAACTTGTGCAGATAAAACGGCATCTGCGCATATGTCAACGGCATACTCTTTGGAATCTTCAGCTCATGATCGTTGGTGTAGATCCACTGCCTCGGCTCCGGCCTCAGATTAGCCTGTGAGGCACCGTAAGCTAAGACGTCGTTCGACACCCATGCGCTCAGATAATTGTAAAAGGCACGCGGATTGATGATGCCTTCGGAATCCACCAGTCGGACTTGGGTGACCAGCGATTTGTCGATGGGATTGTCGACGTGACCAGTCTGTACCAGCAGTTTATAGGCCAGAATCGCCTCGTCGCTGGCGTTCTTGTACCACCTCTCCTGCGTGATACAACCACTATTGTAGTCCTTGTCGAATGCGCTCTGCAGACCCTTCAGCCAGTCCCTGAACAAGCTCAGCCAGAACTCCGGAAGACCTCCGTTGTCATTCTTGATCACGTTCTTTATCCTCATGAAAGCATCGTGGTACTCGTACAGTAACTTCTGATTGTTAGGATACTCGAAATCCCGGCCCGTAACGGCGTACATGTTATAGAACCCAAAATGCTTCGCCTGGGCTGCCAGGAAAGCGTGTTCGTTGGAGTTCTGCGGAACCAGATCAGTCAGCTCTAGGCCGTCGTTCACTTTTATAGCTTGCCAGACACTGCCAGACAGAACGGCGATCAGGATCATCATCCCGAAGACCTTGGTCGCCGGTTTGGTGACGAAGGGAGCGTAATGCCTCGCAGCAAGCTGAGTCAAAGAGAAGCTCAGACAGTCGTCCTGGCTGCAACCCGTCAGAGTATCCTCCTCGCTGCACTGTCTGTCCAGGTCCACCTCGATGTTCCCACCGACCCAGGACTCATTCTGCGCGTTCTGTGACGTCAGGATCTGCGTGCACGTCTCGCGCCGTTCCGGAGGAATCGCCCTGGTCACCGTTTGCTTCGCGGTGCCGTTGTTCATCCGATTGGCGTACCTGTTCCTCCCAGTGTTGGACGGAAGGCAGCAGCAGAATATGTCCGAACGACCCGAACGACGTCGCCTCAAGTCCAAACTAACCATCGCTGGGAAGACGAGCAGCATTGCGGCTAGATTGAACAGCAACAGTATCCCAGCCTGCAGGCAAAAGACTCGCAGCGCAGGAATCGGGATGATCGCAGCCGCGAAGAACGCTGAGACGTTGCTGAGGCCTGCCAGGAGGACGGAGAGACCTGTCCTTTTCAGGACAACTCCAGTTTGCTCTCCGCTGGGCACCTCGTTCACCGACAATTCGGCGTACGTGTGCGTCAATAGGAACATGTCGTGTACACCTAGACCCAAGGCCAGAAACGGGACGATCTGGGTGGTAGCTGCGTTAAATGGGATCCCCAGGAGTGCGCAGAACCCCAAACCTGCTGCCACCGTGGCGCACATCAGCATCACACCTGCTATTCCTACGCCAGCTTGCGATCGCACAGGGTCCTTCCATCGAAGGAGCACTATGCCGGCGTACAGCAACTGTAACAGAACGATCACTCGTATATTAATCACCCGAGGACATTTCGCTTCAGGAAGGATTCGTATCAGGAACGTATACTAACCATCAGCGTGCAACCATTGGCGATTTTCATGACGGACACCTCGCTGTACTTTCCGAGTATGTCGTTCATGGTGGTTGTGCTGAACGCGTACAAATTGTACGGGGCCGACCCGTTCGCGTCCAGATGTTTTTTCACCTGATTACTGAATGCCCTCTGCCAAGTTTCGAGCACTTGGGCCGCCTTCTCCTGGGACCAGTCGATGTGATGCACCTTGTAGGTGCCGGCGAAGAAATCGTAAAGCTCTCGTTCTCCCATCAGCTGCACAACGGTCTGCAGTGCAGCTGCACGGGTCAAGTGACCAGTCTTATTGTGCTTGGCACCGCCAACCAGCAACTCCTCCGGCCAGTGCATATATTTCGCAGCGAAACCGTAACAGCCACCCGTTAATTCGGCTCCTATGTCCGGGACCTGGCGGAACAAATCATTCAAATATGATTATATGAAATTTTTCATTAGGAATCGGAACATGTACCTTGCTATGAAAGTATTTTGAAAGTACATTTCTATTTTAACATTTTAATTTGTATGAGCTGGAGACTTTGCAATTTTGTTGGGACTTCGGAATTATGAAATTACAAGTATAGAATTTTGCAATGTCATTTTAAATTGTCACTCCAAAATTTAAAACAACCCGAAGAACGCGTTTCGCTTCAAAACCTGAAATCTAAATTATTCCATAAATGTTGAAAGAAGAAACGCATAAAATGTTTTACGAATTCCCTTATGGATGAAGATAATTTACATACGCTATAAATAAAAATGAAGTACATAATTCTGTCCCATGAAATCTGTAATTAAGTCGGTAACAAATAGATCTTCCGACGCAGTTATTATCTTTCAAGACTCATTAAATTGACACTAATGAATCATGAATTGTGTGACTATTATAATGCATTCATTACAGAAGATCAACATCTCGGCGGACTACCCTGTCCGCGTTATTTATCTTGGCATGATATAGAGAGCCATTGGACAAGGTCCAAGCAACTAGACGGTGATCGTTTAAAGTCCTCGCTGGTATGCTCCTTTTATAGGTCCCCATAAAATCTCGCTGTGAGGTCCGTAACACCCTAGGCCACCCTCCTTCGTCTCTCACTTACGATCACGTTTTTATCATTTCTTTGGTCACGAAAGGAACGCCCGTTCGAGCCCCTTTTCAATTCGGAATCATTCTTTTGACAGGTCAAAGAATTCCTAACGTGACTTGACACGGTCTCTACTTTCTCTCATGTTACAAATATTCGTAGATTCTCGATTATTTGATTAGTAGGAAATTGAGCATGACATAGAATGATGGAAGGAAGAAATGATTTAAAGTAAAGGTGGACATTATTATTTCAGTTTTATTGTTAATTGTTTGGCTTCTTGGTACTCGAGATTAGAGAATCTGCATTCTGTTGTACTAAATGTAAGGTATTGACTCGGTGTTTTATTATTGTAGTTTACTGTTGTTGTATTGTTTTATTAATTCTGATATTTAGTTTATTGCTATGTTATTTTGATACTTTAATGGTTTGCTACTTTAGTATTTTAGTATTTTAGTATATTAGTATATTAGTATTTTAGTATATTAGTATATTAGTATTTTAGTATTTTAGTATTTTAGTATTTTAGTATTTTAGTATTTTAGTATTTTAGTATTTTAGTATTTCAGTATTTTAGTATTTCAGTATTTTAGTGTTCCAGTATTTTAGTGTTTCAGTATTTTAGTGTTTCAGTATTTTAGTGTTTCAGTATTTTAGTGTTTTACTATTTTACTATTTTACTATTCTACTATTCTACTATTTTACTATTTACTATTTTACTATTTTACTATTTTACTATTTACTGTTTTACTATTTTACTGTTTTACTATTTTACTATTTTACTATTTTACTATTTTACTATTTTACCATTTTACTATGCTACTGTTCTATTATTCTAGCAATATACTATTCTCCTATTCTATTATTTCACTATTTTGCTATTCTGCTATTATACTACTGTATCTTTTACTATTCTACACTTTTACTACTACACAGTGTCATCATTCTGCTGTTGCATATGTATCTATATGCATATTTGTATGGGTAATACTTCATCCATATTTTGATATACATACGTACCATTATGCTATATTGTACTTTAATTTGTACTATTAAAATTAGTTTTAATGAAATATATAACAAATATAATTATGTTATATGCTTACTAACATTAATTCTTAATTATATTTCTATTAAAATCAATTTCACTTATTATTGTTAACTGTTCTAAATAGAGCGATGTCAATTTTGTTCATACTTTCAAGTCAAGCTACCTTGACGTATTCGTTAATGAAACAATGCATTATTCAAAAGAACGACCTACGTAAGAAAGAATGTACAGAAGAATGTTGTTTAGATCGTACAGTGTAGCACGAATGGATTTCATTATGAATGTTACGTGTGAATGAACTCCTTAAGCGATAGCCACGTACGATCGTTTAGGGTAGAAGAGGGATCAAGTATGAATGGATTCTAAGAAGGTACGTGATGTTTCGGGTGCAAGGAGATACGTGATACGAGTGCCAGATACATAATTCTGATACCAAAATGATAATTTCAAGAACGAAAACAGAATATAACAATTATGTACAACACAATCTAAGCACGTGATTGAAAAATTGTATATGAAAGTGTTACATTGATTGAACGTGTAACGCTTATAACTATCTAATAGTCTAATAGAATCTAAGGTGACACATAGTTTTATTATTCAACTACATTTTTATTTAAACTTCAAGCCTAATTAAACCTAACATAATTTAACCTGACGGATAATTATAGTTTTCGTATCTCTTCTGTTTGAATTTCAAAGTAAATTTAAATTAATTTAACAATTTTGTTGTTTATGTTCGTTGAAAATTTAATTCTAAACGAAGCTAGTCTAATGTATCAGATAAGATTTGTTTAGGTAAAAATTTTAATAAAAGGACAACATGTTATATTCTAATCAAATTTTCATTTGCATTAAGTATATTTTAATGACGCTATCGATACAAGATTTTTACCAATGTTAATATTCACTTTCAATTAAATACAGCTATAGAGAAATATTTTAATTTTCCTTTGCAGACCAAAAAATTCTAAAAATCAACAAATGACAATTTCATAATCGAACAATAATTAAAAATTACGTAATTACCCTCGTGTTAATGAACAGAAGGCTAAGAAATTTCGAATTCATGTGTATCGGCAAAGAAAAAACGAAACCGAAAAAACACGAGACACCGTGCACGTTACTTGCATACTAACGAGCCAGTATTAATTACCAGCAATTAATTCGTACGTTATTGCATAGTAATTAAGCAAATAACCGATATTGCCTGATTCGTGTTATCTCTTCCTTAAAAACTTGCCAACTTTTCGATTATCGCTCCTGAGACCACAAATACAATTACCGGTATGGAGTCGATATTTTTCATTGACTCTTGCGAAAAAATTCTCATTTAACCCTTTATTTATTCGTACTTAGCAATTATTTAATTTTGTGAGCGTTCTCAAGCGTTCATATTTATTAATATTTTATGTATCATATTTAGTATTAATATAAGTATAAAACATACAATTTTTTAGTATATTTATTATTTAGTAATTTTTTAGTAATATTTATTAATATTTCATGTATCATATTTAGTAATAATATAAGTATAGTACATACAATTTTTTAGTTAAATTACTCAGTTTAGTTAAATTAGAATTTATCATAATATAGTCTCCAACTTTTGAATCAAATTCGGATAAAAATTCTTTCAAATCAATTTTTGAATCTTTTTTAAATATTTTTGAGATTTTCTTATTTTATAGAAGTACATTATAGATTTACTGTATTCAAGTGTATAGAATAAATTTTGTTTTCTATGAAGCTATAGAAAAAATGATCCAAACCATGATTGTATAGTAAGATTCTAATGGTTACTTTCGTTTCTTCAAAAATAATTTCTTCATTATTCTTCTTCTTCATTTTTCTTCAAGATAATATCAAGAAGATATCAACAATTCACAAGATATTTTAAATTAAGAAAATAAGATGTTTTATCAAAAAAAAAAATATGAAAGACGTAGCGTCAAAAAAATCACCAATTTGCAAGATATTTTAGATAATACTATTTCATAAAAAAGTATAAAACAGAAAAAATGACCAATTCTCGAGACATTTTAAAATGAAAAGTAAAATGTCTCGTAATAAAATATGAAATACGTATCTCGCGATTTTCACATTTATAATAAAAGAGAAAAGCAATCGCGGTTATCGAAAAATGTGAAATACGCGTCTCACGATTTCCACGATTTGTCGCACCGTCTATAATAGAATAGAAATGGCAGTTCATCGGAAAGTATGATTTCAAAACGAATGCAATTTCCCGTTTGCAGTACCCGATATCGTTTTATCCTTTGTCTCGTTACGCAAGAAAACAAGAGGGTCATGGACCTCGTGATGTGACACCCGCGTGCCAGCACACGAAGCAAACAGGTAACACTAGAGCCCACCCACAGCGATTATCGCGTGTCTCGAGTATCGATTCGCGTTGCCATGATCCGTCACGATATCTCGCTGGCTGACTTTTTTTCGAGTGATGTTAATCCGCAACAATTTGTTGGACGTAGAGATTACGATCTTGATGGACAGCTCTGATCAAATTGCAGTCATGAGATCGTGATGATGGTTCAAGCATACAGAAACGAGTAGTAATTAAAACAAGTATTTCTGTGGATTTTGGTGTACGAATGACTATTTGAAAATTATGATAATTACTGTAGATATTTTATTAAGGAATTTTTTGTAGTTCACTATTTGTATAGGAATATAGTTATATTATATAAAATATAAACTGTCATATTATTATAAATGACAAGGTTAACCTTGACAAAGGTTAACATTTAGACAGAAATTTTTTTATAACTAAAAATAAGAAATCTGGGATCCGTCATGGATACTGTAAATCTAGTGTTGAACACTTTTAGCGAAATCCTTAGATATCTAACTCTTATTTTATTTTTTGGTCGACAAAAGTTCGTCACCCTTAAATTAGAAATTTAAGCACCCTCATTTAGATTCTACAAAGCTAATATGCCATGAAATCTAACCATCAAATTTGATAAAACTTGACCTATCATCCAACTAGGTCTACAATTACCCCTTGGTCTACAATAACCCCTTAATTTTCAATGTTCTAGGCAGTTGCGTCATTCACAGTTCATTAATAATTGCTACAACTTGAAGACAAATAAAGAAAATTGAAGACTTAGACACGTTATGTATTCAATGATCCTTGATTGTGAAGATTATAATCAGAATTGAACCCAAAATTCAGTTTATTACGATGAAAATATGATTCTGATTTGACACGTATGAAGTACAAGGCGCGTCACAAGTGTGATATTGTA